GGAGCTGGGTTAGGGTTTCCAACGGCCCCTGTGAGCTTCACCGGCGCCCAGCTCCCCACGGCACTGGCGTCTTTATTATCTCTGGAGCAACACACGCATTTACACCTTTCCCCCCGACCGTTCGCGTGGCGTTGAAAACAATACAGCTTCCAGAGCAGGTACGCGTTTGAACCAGGGGGACTGCCGTTCCCCGCTCACACGAATTACAGGGTCTGGTTTTTGCTATGATCAGTAAAATAAGCCATCGCCACCGTTCCTCTTTCCCCCGCATTTTGAAAGCCACACCGAACAACAGTTACGCTTACAATATACAGCACAGGACAACCGAGAATAGGGGTTTTCTGCGATACAGCGCTACATAGCACACATTTTGTTTTAAGTTCACAAATCAAGTTACTCTCAGATGCCAAATACCGTACGGCCAGACTGCAGATGCTGGAGAGACTTCTGATGCTCTCGGCGTACCGTCCTGAACAGTCCACCGCACTCCCACCACAATGCCTCCAGGATCTACGTCTTCATTAACATTCTCAGTGTATAAGCGAGATACTCAAAATATCCTTAACAAGGTCTTTTTTTTTTTTCCCTTAACAAGGTCATTTGTTTTTTTTTCCTTTAACAAGGTCAGTTTTTTTTCCTGAAGTTCAGTTCTACTGTAACAAACTACCTTCTAATTACTCAACCAAAAAAAGTGGGATTTATTGAATTTTGAATTCTGCGAGACTGACCTGCAGTAACCATAACAGTTTCAACTGTCAACAAATTTGACTTCTTTACAGATTATGTAAAATTACCTGTATTGTGAAACTACAGACTGTGCACCGTTTCTGGGTACGCTGTGGATTAGAAAAACCTGCAAGAGGCTTGAAAGCAGTTACGTTAAAACAATGAAATTCAGCTAACTTCTTAAAAAAAACAGCCCTGAGAACATGGCTCAACTAGTGAGAGCCTAGTTGAAAAACCACCATTATAAGCAAAAATTAGAAGGATCTATTGAAATCTTAAAGTATTATTTGCCAACATTTGAGGCAGGAAACGCTGCAGTCTTTCCAAATCCATAAAGTAATAAGAGAAACTCAATGAATTGGAGCCATAAAAAAAAAATGCATTATTTGGAGTGGAAATACTTTTCTTCACCTCCCAGTTTTCACAGCCTTTACTCTAAGCAATGGCATCAGCTATTAGAAGTTTATAGTTTTCGGTTTTGACACAATTTAAGTGTTAAGACAGTACTACGGAACAAGTACATCAGTAAGATTTGTTTTAAAGTAAAGCAATGAAAGGAGAATTTCTCTAAGCATTTGGTTAGGGATCTTAAAAATACGCATCTATATGGACTATTGATCACAAACAAAGTTTGTTGCAAACAATTCTGACAGTAAACTGAAACATCTTACTTTGGAAAAAAATGCCTCAAATACATGTTCTAATTTAGAAGCAACTTTTAACCTTACTGAAACTTGGAGATTATGCTTAAGACTCATGCTTATGTATTACCTATGGAAAACTTCATGCATGACAAGCCAATGCTCTGCACTTCCATAGTGTTTGAAGCGCTTCACAAAAGACAACTAAGTATATAAGAATAAACCTATAATGAAGTACTTAATCATTTAAATCTTGCAGAACTGAAGGTTGCAATAGGAGGATATCCATATGTCCCAAGGAGGACTCTTCCAGCAAGCCGGAGGTCATAAAACCTCTATCTTAGATTGCTGTAGTACCTGAAAACTCCAGTCAGACCAGGACCCCACTTGTAGGAACAGGACAAAAACCAGCCCTTGTCCCAGAGAGCTTACAGTCTAAGTAAATGCTTAGATTGTGGGCCAGTGGCATCAAATACCTGTCTTCCAACAAGGTTTGAGGGGACAGACAGGCACCTGGAAGTAGACTAAAGCACTACCAGAACAAGGACAAATCCAAGTCTTGTAGTTTTCAAGCATATTAGAAGTATTCGTAATGCGGTGATAGCATTAGAACTTGCATTAGTTTGACATAGCAACCTATGACTTCCCCTCTGACATCACACAGCTCAGCTTGCCGTCAAGACCATCATCAACGGTTTCACAGTCACCTCCAAAACCAACAAAGCCTGTCTTTCAGGTACCAGTTCGATGCAGAGGCAGAAAGGAGCATAGTGCAGGCTAGCTTGAAATACGAAGCATGCACTTCAAAACTACTCTGAATGCATTTCAATCTCTTGCATCTACAGCTTTTTTTAAAAGTGGTTTTGCCATTTCAGTCAAGGTGCTATTTATAGAGTTCACCTGCAATGTGTACTGTGCTAGGCAAGAGCGTGTGGCAGTATCCCACTTCTGCCAGGTGTCCCAGGTAACTGTGCTTTATTACCAGAGTATATTTATTGCTGTCTTTACCTTCACTGCACTGCTCTCCCTGTCATGAGAAGTCTATGGAAAATGCGTGGTTTTGCCATCTACGTTAGACCTCCAAGATTTACTAAGCCCTGCCATGGTATGTACAAGGGCAGTTCAGGACAGTTGCCCTGAGCCCTCTGGGGATTAGAGAGTACATACTATTAAGCTGAAAACATTTTAAGCAGTTAACAGCAGCGTGAAGTCTGACTCTCGCTGCCAAGAGAGTGCGAATTGTGCGTGCTGTCCAGGGCAGCATGCCACGTGTTTACAAGTTGTCCACTATTAGCCAACAGCCACTGAAGCTTAAGGCAAGTTCATGAAACAACTTATCAACTGTGAAGAGAGGTCTGAGCCACAGACTAAGGAAGTTTCCCACTCACGAAGAGTCACCAAGTCTTAGAATTCAAGCTGAACGCCTTAAACAGGAGCAGACTAGTTATCCTTCCATGACCAATTCTGTGAAGCCTTGTGTTTGCCTGTTAAGCTACTAAATAGAGGCATGCATGCGTGTTTCAATGACTGAGAACTCCCTTGGAGAGGAGCTAGCTTTCATAACTATGTAGCAATTTATTTACTTTTATAGTTAAGCCATGGTTGTTCAGTATTGTCTGTCAAGTCTGTATTTTGAAAATACAATAGTTTTATTTTTTAAAAAAGAATCACATGCATTTAGTTTAGGCTCAATGCTACAGTTTGTCCCACTTTTTGAAAAACATGTGGTCCCTGTGCTACAAAAATATGGTCTAAACCTGAAGATTAAAACCTAAAGCTGGAAGCACTGCAACAGATTCCCACGGAGTTTGTCACCCTTTTATAGTTTAAGATAAATACAATAAAGGAAAGCAATTGAACTGCATTTTTCTATTTTATTTTTCAAGTCTGACAAAGGCCTCGAGTGAAAGTCTATAGCTTTAACATCCATTCTCACCTTTGTGTCCCCTTGACTTATCTATGTCTTACCTACCCAATATTCCAACTGCCTGCCTAAACCACAGGTAGGCTTTGACACCATTTTATCGTTACAATAAGCCAACGAGTTGGCAAAGAAGAATACAGAGGTAATACAGTTAAGTTGCACATGGCCACTGGGGCTTGGTCAAGCCAGCTGGCATTTTTGATCACTTGAGTTTCTTGGTCTAAGAGTTGCGATTGGCACCTACAGTTCTGCAAGAGTCCCAATCCACAAAATACTTAAGCTTAAAAAAAAAAAATGCTACTTTTATTGTCAGTTCTACCTAAACATGTCAAGAAAAATACTATTTGTGCTCTAGGTCACTTTATAATCCTAGATACCTACCAGCTTATCTAAAAGCCCCTGAATACTGTATTTTGTCTGTTCATACAGACAAACACTGTTTTGCTCAAGCAAATAAAAATATATCCACTAGTAACACCTGATTGGTTTCTTAGATCCATAGCTGAAACCCACAGGAATGTTAAAATAGTTACAATTAAGGAATTAAAATCTCAGTGATTTTGAAAACTGCCAGTTAGCCTGCAACACTAATCCAGAATCCAGCACTGCTTTTTAACAATTCAAAAAAAGAAATGAGGTTGCTTGTGAAGGCCAGAGCTTTGGTGACAATAAGAACCAAATTTATAGATCTGTGGTTTGTCCAGACCTGAGCAGTTGCCCGAGCCTGGTGATCCTCTTTATTTGCAAGGCTTTATGGCTACAGCACATTCTTCATTCATTGCACTTATGACGGATATCTGGAAGAAAAGACAGATAGGTGAGCTCCAACCCACACCAGAGGGAGCGCTCCCAGAAGTTACAGGCTTTCACATTTTAGTATCTATCCCATCTCTCTTGAGAAGGAAAAAGGAAGTTGAAGCTGCTAAAATTCAGTCATTAGAAGAATTTCCACAATATCTGCCCTTCCCACCGATATGCTCTTCTGCTGCCTTCTCTTTGCCATATTGCCTTGGCTGGCAGCTTGAGGCTTGTACAACAGAGCAAGACGAACAAGCTCCTGCAACAGAGCCAAACTAGCAACTGGTGTGGCCCAGTATAGACTACAGGCTGCAGAGCTACCTGCAGAGAGGTTTGCCAACATAGCAAATCAGACTACTCAGACTACGTCGCAGAACTCTACACTTGGTCCCCATTAAGAAAGCCTGGAGGCTCCAATCCACACCGTGAGGACAGCACTGTTAGGATTTATCTAGACATTTGAGACACCCGTATCACCTCACTGTCAACTGAGCCGGGCTTCAGTGCCGTATTGAGTGCTCCAGTACAAAAGTCCTTCTACATCTCACAGGACCAATTCCCGTGCTTCTAACCTGCTCTTCACAGAGAGATACAAACGGTCAATATCAGAATAAGACTCCTTCATTGTATAATCAAGTGGAATTAACCATAACTCTTCTTGTCTGCCCTCTACGCTTACCTGCACATCTTCATTGGCATTGAATTTTCCTTCTATTTCTTTGCCAAGATCCCCTTCTGGTAACTTTAGATCCTCACGAACTTCACCACTTTCTGTCAGCAGGGAGAGATACCCATCCTGAATACCTATCAGCTGTGAAGAGAAGTTCACTCTTAGGAAGTTTAACTTCATCAGTAGTCACTAGTAGGCAGTAGCTGAAGATAAGCAGAAGGCAGTGAACTCTACCTGTTACATTAATTCTTTAATACTGTGTTTGAAACAGTTAAGAATGTAGTTTAAGTCAATTTTTAACAACAGTTTAGAGGGCCGAGTTAGGGCAAGTGTAGCAAAAGCCAGTCTGCTATCAAGAACCGCCAGAACCCTGTTGGTTACTTCCTAGCATGCGGGGCACTGCAAAACCCATCCTTGTGATTTAGAAAATGTACTGCTTCCATGTCACTGGTTCAGCTTTTTACGTCTGTGAATTAGAAACAATAACTGAAATGGTGTTCACTGAACAGCATTGCTTTTATAAAGTGTACAAAGTACACAACGGTTGAACTGTACTCTTCTATACCTTCATTTGTACAATGAAATACTATCATTTACATTAAAGGCTAATGAATAAATTAGGGAACATCCACCAAGCTCTGGACTCCTTTTATAATGCTGGTTTCAGCCTAACCGAAAGCCTGAGCTAAGGGGAACAGTTACTTTGACAGAGTTAGGGAACTTGGAACATGTAACAGTAAGCCTAAAAGGCAGCCCTAACAAGTCTGATAAACAGCAATAATTTCAGTAGCAATAAGGACCCAAGAACACAAGAGAAACATCACCAAGAGAACATTAAGAATCTCTTCGAAGGTCTGAGCCCTAAGACAGGCTAGTCACACTTTATTTAAACCCCATCAGCTGTCCTGAAGAGTTGCTAACACTCTGAACTTTGGCTTTGTCAAGCAACTGCAGCTTTCCAACTGACGTGGATGTATCAGTTCCTGACCAGAACTATTCCCAAGACAATGGGAAGACAGCCGACATGTTATAACTCAGAACCTGAATTGTGCTGCTTTTAAGAGCTCGCTATCCGTATCACAGAAGGCGTTACAGAAGTTACAGAAGCCTGCCAAGTTCCTTCCGTACATACATTTCGGAGCAGAGCTCATTTCAGGAGCACCAAAATTACTCGAGATCAACTAAAGCCAGCTTCCACGCAAAGAGCAGAAAGTATGTAGCAAGTTAGAACTGGCATCAGATGCAGTTTAAGACTGTCTTGTTGATTCATCTACCCTATGTAAGGGTGAAATTATAAATGACAATATACGCTTAGATTCAAATTAACATGAAGTGAGATCTTGATTATCCTTTAATTAATAATAACTTGCAGTAGGGATAACCACTCTCCAGATTCTAAAGGATGCCAGTATCACAAAGAATAAAGAAGTGACCTTAAAACATGAGCTAGAAAAAACACAGTTCTGAATTATGCCTATTACCTGTCATTTCTGAAGATTACTACTATAACATGAGGTTGTTAGTACAGTAAGGAGCTCTCCATCAGTGAGGTCCAACAGTTTTAACTACGAGTTCAGCAATGTCATGTCTAGACAGGCAAGTTCCATTAATTCTGGTGACAGTACTTTATTAATTGAGAGGCAAGTTTTGGGATAAAGAGAGTTTACGTGTGGTATTAGGAGTATAAAGCCTCTTAATGTGTGGGAGGACACAGTGAGTGTTAACTCACCTGGTAATCATTTCTCTTGATATTTGGAACATCCATGTTATGAGTTGATGGGCAAATATCTTCGTATTTTTTACCAGTGAAGATATCAATACCAACCAAGTGGACCTATAAGAGAAGAAAAATAACATCAGTTACTGTTGGCCCTAGAGAAGCAAGATGCCATTGCTGTCAGTGTTGCCGGTTCCACGTAGTTTTCGAAGAGATCACATGTAATACCAGATTCTGCCTAGACCCTTTGCTTGTAGTATGAGAGCAGCCCAAGCACTGAGAGAAAGCCTCTCACACCCTCTCATAGCACACTATAGAAACACTACATGAGAACAAAGGTCAGCCACTGTTATCTTCCGTAGCCATAGCCTTCTGTAGTTTTACAGCAGCAAGCTAGAGCTCAGAATATGCAGCGGTTAAGAAAATGTTTCCTTCAAATTCTAGCTGTTCTGAGAAACACAACAGTGTCGGTGACAATGTGAAGGTTAAGAGGAAAAGAAGAGGTGGTCATGCACAGACATTAAAGCAGCTCCTACCTCCCTTTATGCTAGCAGCAGCTGTCCACTGCAGCTAGTGCTTGGATTACCAGTTCCTAGCCCGCTCTTCTCAGGTACTTTCACTCCCACAACCGTTTTGGTATTTAGGAAAACTGGATCTGTCTAGTAAAACAAGCCATAAAAAAAGCAAGGGAAGGGAGAAAGGAAAAAACTGGCAAGGGCTTGGTATACTCTAGCTTTGGGAAATCCTAAATACTTTACCCACCTACATGTATCATACAAGGCTGTGAAAACTTACAACTCCAATTAGTCCGTGCTTGTAACAGATCTGCCTCTAAACTCTAATATACCCACCATAAAGTGCTGTTGAATGAATGAAGGGGGAGTCTAACCTCGGTCCAAGCTCTGGACAGCTGCATAAGCCAACTGCTTAGGAAGCAGGACTGCAGCCTCAGACAGCAGCCTAAGAATGTCCCTGCTGGGACGCAGGAGGGGGAAGGTACTCCTCAGTCAGTGCTGAAAAAAGGAAAGAAGCAGCGAGGCAAGCTAGCAAAACAGGGCCAGAGCAGGCCCACGGAGGTAACGATTGTCCGCTGAGCTCTTCTGGATTATGTAACGGAACATGGGCACCTCTAGCAAGCGCTGAAGTCGAGCGCTGCAATAGTGAAAGTCTGCTAGCGCAGGCAGACACAAAAGTGCTTTGGTGGGTAGCGACAGCACAATCCAACCACGCCCTAGTGATTTCATCAGCCCCCCTTCCAGAACTTACTCTACCCCCACTACAGAAATAGGTTTTATCGCTATCAGCGTTAAAGCGTTTTAACAAGTTGGGAGGAAAAAAACCAACCCAACCCCCTGTCCTCAATCCTTCCTCCTTTACATCGCTGGAAACCCTTGAGCGAACTCTGGACTGAAGAGACACACGAGACGCCGCTGCGAGAACAGCAAAGGCAGGACACGGAACACTCTGCCAAACGAAATGCTGCACC